GGCCCATTCAAGTGCTAATTCCGATCACGCGCGCGGACGCTGGAATCGCCCCGTGCGCGCCCTTTCATTTTGACGCCGCCCACTTCGCCCCGCCCCGCCCACGCCCCTCTTCTGCTTCTCCTCCTGTCCCCTTCTCCTTCCTTGCTCCCCATCTCCCCCGCCATCTCCTTACTTCCTCGCCTCCTACCTTAAATTGTCCCACTCCACTGCGATTCATCTCGCACTCCAGCTCAAAGAATAAGTGATTCTTTGACACATTCAACGAAGCATCGCTGGTTCAGGAAATAACTGCTTTGCTCTCTCTCTCTCTCTCTCTCTCTCTCTCTCTCTCTCTCTCTCTCACACACACACACACACACACACTCTCTTGTGTGATTGTACGTCCATTGATTCAAAAAACAAATTTTACGATACTCTTTTTTAGCGAAAACTCTTTTAAAAATGATATTGATGATGATTGTAAATGATAATCAATTGTTCCATTTCTTTTACCTAGAACACGCAAGTGCGGAACATTTCATTAACATCTAACATGAGAGCGTAGTCAGTATGTAATTGGCGATACGGGTGACGTCGCGTCCATGGCGAAGGTGCCGACGTGTCGGTCGCCATTCTGCATCTTTCCTCTGCATCCTTCCACTTCCAGTGGAAGGACAGTCACACGGACAGACAATTAAATAACATCTCATATGACTTCCTTTTTCATTTGTACTATGATAAGATGTTTAGAAATTGTCCGACTGTTTCTGTCGTACTATTTTGCTTATATTTAAAGGAAAAACATTATTTATTCATTATTGTTCTCGTGACACTATCATTACTACAACGCAGTAACACCTTTTTACTTTAAATATTTTATATCGACGAATATTGCTATTCTTACAATTGCATATCCCGTGAAGTGTATTCTCAATGAAATATGCACGTAATAAAACTCTCATTTTTTTACATTTTAAATTATGTTAAATATTTATAATTTTATTCATTTTTAAACTTACATCAGAGGTTTAGTAAACTGAATATCCTTACGAGTATTTTATACACGTGCTATATTTGTACATTTCTTTTTGCAACATTTTAATGTTAAACCCAACCATGAAACATTACAATTGTTGAAAAAGACCATGCAGAAATAATAAATCATCATAAGAAATAATCAAATCTTCATATCATAATGGAAAGGTAAATACTTTCTTCCTTGGGAACTCACTGCTATTTTAAGTTCCAGGTGTCGTATTCCCGTACAATCAATCAAGCATGAAATATTACAATAATTGGAACGGACAATACGAATAATATATAATATATAGTCATAAGAAATAATCAAATCTCCGTATGATAATGCAAAGGTGGATACGTTTCTCTTTAGAAACGCGCAGCTCTCGAGTATCGCATTCCCACAACGTCAATCGCTGCGACGTGCCATCCCCGCCCCCTCCGCCGCCATCTTCCCGAAACATTCGAGCGGAGTGGAGACAAAGCGTCGTGGAGGTGGAGGCGGAGGCGGTGGGGGAGGGGGAGGGGAGGCGGTAGGCAGAGGCGGAGGTGGAGGGCGTGAGCGGAGGGCCGGAGGCCGTAGGCGGGGGAGGGGGGGGGCGGGGGGGGGGCGGGGAACGGAGACGGAAGAACGGAGAACGGAGAGGAGATACGGAGACGGAGGCGGAGGCGGAGCGGGGGCGGGGGGGGGGGCGGAGGTGGAGGCGGGGCCGGGGGCGGGGACGGAAGGCGGAGGTGGAGGGAGAGGTTGGAGGGGGGAGGTGGGGGAGGTGGAGGGGAGGTGGGGGGAGGTGGAGGGGAGGGAGGGGGAGGGGGAGGCGGAAGGAGGAGGCGGAGGGGAGGAGGGGGAGGGAGGGGGAGCGGGAGGCGGAGGCGGAGGCGGAGGGGCGGAGGCCGGGGGGCGGAGGCGGAGTCGGCCGGGGCGTGCCCGCCGCACGGCTTCTCCGTCGGCTTGATGGGCGGAGACGAACTGCGCGCGCCATTCACACAAATGTACATAAGCGGCGGCCGCGAGACGTGGCTCTTGCCAGCCCCCCCCTGAAGGCAGCCGCGCTCTTCATGCTCGCCGCTCCGTCCCCCGCACGCGCGGGCTTCACTCCGCTTGTGCGTCCTTTGTAATTTTTGGTTGGTTTATAATGGTCGGTTTCGGGCGATGCGGTCGTTAGTCCTAAAGTGTAGTGCACGTGCGCTTTCGCGAGATAGTGGTAGATTGTGAGATGCGACGCCGATTGTCGATTTTGCGGGATTTACTTTCTAGGAACGTCCTCAGAGTGGCGGCCGCCCAGCCAGGGCCAGGCGACTGTGGCTTCTCACTGGTCTCTGATATTGGGTGGTAGTAGTGTGCGTGTGAAGGGGGTTGTAATAGGGCGAGAACAGAGGAAAGAAGAGATCTGCGCGCCTTCGCGTGGTCCGTTTTGTTTAGGATAACTCACTCCGAGCATGTCGCCTGGTATTGTTGGGGAAACGCATTTTAAACTACCGATCAGAGCAGCGGGCCTTGCGGAATTCTCTCCAGAAACAGGACTGGAATTCGACCTACTAGTTGTCTAAAGCGCAGCTGTCGAAATGGCTGCCTGAACCAACCGGTTGGGCACAGCGAACTGAGGATCTCAGGTCAGAGGCACTACATCAGTGATGCCCTGAGCTATTCTCTCCGGGAGGACTAAGCAGAGAGAGAAGCGGGATGGACGGCGCAAAGCGAGGAAGCAGGGCCTTTCTGGGGCGAGAGACGGGTAAGGATGGTGACGGGGGCGGGCTTGGGTGAAGACGGGGCCGTTAGCCGGCGCGACGGGAGGTACTTGGCGTGGAGTCGCGAGCGCGTGGACCGGTGACGAGGGGGGGCGGGGCGGCGGGCGGCGACGCCACCAGAAGATGGCCAGTTGAGGAAATTACCATAGCGCGCTGGGCGGTCGCGTCGCCGCCCGTCCGCCCGCGCCTCGGCCCCCGCCGCCCGCCCGCCCCACCCCCGCGCTTTTGAGACCGTCGACAGTTCCTGATGAAGTCCTGCTCCGACTCCCGCACGTCTCGCGCTTTCCGCCCTTCAGCTCTTCCAACACTCGAGAACAAGTATAACAACAATAGAAGAATGTTTAAGGGAGGCTTCTATCAAAATAGTATTTCTCAGACGATTTTTATTTCTTACAAATCAATAAATTTTATCACATAATGAACACAATGGTAACAATTTTACAAACTTATTTTTAATATTTTTTAAATGTATTTTTACAACAATTTTACAAACTTATTTTGTATTTTCCATACGTTTGTAATGTTTTTTAAATATATTTTTACAACTTTCGTTAAAAAAAATAGAATCAAATTTTATGTATACGTAGATCACTTTAATATTTTCACACAAACTTCAGACCTGTTAGAAGAAAAATTGCTTATATTACATGAATAACTTGTGTAGTTTTTTTTATTTAGAAAATGATGGATTTCTGAAAGGCAAATTTGCTGATTTTGTTTCTACTTCTATGTTTCTTGAACACAGAAGGAAAAATAAATTAATATGGGCACTCTATAAAAATCAATTTTTATTCTTTGTAAACTAAGCTACTGTAGAAATTTCAACATTAAAAAATGTTGGAAATAGAGTATTTTAAATACTCTAATTTGCCGTAAAAACGAAGTTTTGTAAAAATGAATTTAGGAGTTTCATATAGTAACGAATCACAATTCAAAGAGTTAAAATGTACTTAAAATGTTTGCATGAAATATCGATGTGTAATATTAGATGTACGTTTTAAGTTTTCCATTTATTTTACTTCTGTATTAATATTCACACGAACTTCAGTTATTGTTAAAGAAATGATAGTGAAAAGGTGATGATGATGATGATGATGATGATGATAAAGGAGGACACCTTTCTTAGACAATTTGAAACGTCTTTCTTTCCCTCCTATACTTTTTTGCACATTTAGAACTTCACATTTCAAACCCTATCAGCGACTAAACATTTTCCCCATCGCGTTCGAAACTGTAATGCCGTTTCATTTCACTGGTAATCATATTATTTATTATTAGTATATTATAACATAAATAATAATTAGTAATAATACGGATAATTAGTAATAAGAAATACGTTCGTATTAACCAGAAAATACTTTCAAATGTTCCATCAGTGATTAGTGATTCGCTGACATTGATTAACACATTGTCAGTGATAATTATTTTAACACAATAAATCGAACAGTAACATGAGCAAAGTAGACGTAAATAAAATAATAATTTAATAACTAATATTGCCTGTTTCTAAAGTAGCAAATATCGAGCAAATTGGAATATTTATGCGGACAATATCAACGAAGTTTTGATTTTACTTATAATAACTACATATCAATCATTTACTCACGTTAAATAAATAAAAAACGTAGATAACTCAATACACAATTACTTTTTTACACCAATTATTATATTTTATGCCTATTACAACAAACAATATACTAAGTTTGGGGGGTGTTGACTGTTCTTCCATTTTCTTTAAGTAAAAAATATTACAAATACGCATAACTTCCTGGTTTTTCATTTTGTAAGAAGTTATCCACTTATCTAAAGCTATTTTACCTTTACAGTAAATGCTTAATGAACGAAAAAAATAAAATATTAAAATATTTAGCCTCTTAAGAGGACATACAATTTCTTTATCATTTATATTTGGTTCACTCACGTGATATGTTTCCTGTAAATAATAAATACGAGATCTGTTTGTTAAGGAGAGAACCATGCACATTAATATATCACTTTCAATATTACTTGGATTAACCTTATCCTCCATGTAGCATGTTCGAGTTCTTTTGTTCTCGCAATATGGCGACATCTCGGAAAAGACAGGTTGCTATAACAATCGTGAAAGGAACACTCACAATATATAAATTTAACATTTTTTTAAGAACCAATTTCACTACTTGGGGCAAAGTCGTGCAATATTGAGAATATTTCACATACAGAGAATATTTCATATCCAGCGTCAGTACTGACCAAAACGTTTTAGACAAGTGCTCAATTTTTCTAGATAATATTTAACAGCTTATCTCCGAGACAGCCCAAAAAATACTAAGCAGGAATTTTATCAGTACTCTCTTTTATTATGTGTTATTGCAGACAAAACCGTAGAAACTAAGCATATCTGGAGATATTTAACTGTGTTAAATTTTACTGTGAGGAAAACAGAGGGTGAAATTACCATTCTATGATAATGTTTCCCAAATATTTTCGAACATGACCTGTTATATTACTCGGTTTTTCTGTCCTAGTCGTCATCTGTAGCACTCATAAACTTTGCTTTCTGCTTGCCATTGTCTTCAGTACTCTTACTTTATTCGAGAAGGTCCAAGATCTAAGTAGGTTCATAAAAGTGAGACATTAATTAAGGAATGTGACAGTAAAAGGTAATTCCGAAATTTAAAAATATTGCAGTTTCTCACAACGAATGTTGATGATAATTAAGCGAATTCTTTACATCAAGAGGAAAGAGTCATGAAACTGTGGCAATAATTAACAGTTGAATGCCGGAAACGGGG